TACAGGTATGCAACATGATTGATGTCTGGTTTATCCACCACATTGCTTTTGTTGATCGAGGGGTCCTTCATCTCGCATGCATAACGCAAGAAAACGCGTACGTCTCTTAGTCCGTGTACGGTGCCCCTTGATGGCGCTGAGACATAGCTTTGACTCTAAGAATTTGATTAGATGGGACACACTTGGCGATCATTGGGAAGGGCTGGTCGACTAAACGGCACCATGTGTCTGCTATCCAACAGCAGCGCGAGACATTGGCAACATCAGGGAGTGTTCGGCCCCCCTAGGTCGCGCACTATCGCCCAGAGGTCAGACAAAGTCCCGTGGGTCCCTTGAATCCCCTGGCACTAAACTCTGGAGCGTAATTAGAGCCAAGGTGATTCCCTCATTCCAGGAGCCGGAGAAGTGATAGTTCGATTTGAATCACTGACATGACAAAGGATCAAGAGAAGTGAGAAGGTGGAAGAGCCGGCCCTGGCTAGCCACTTTCCTCAAGCGTTCCAACAACTAAGACATCGACTCCTCGATTCCCGAAGCATCATGAACAAGCCCCTCCTTTGGGATGGGGACGGAGGGAGGCAGAGTAGCGCGGTTCAAATAGCACGCTTTCCGCCGTCCCAGCAATCAGAATCTCGGCGCCTTCTCTCCTATCAGCAGAAGCACACTCGTTCCTTGTTCCTCGATTCGCTCGTTTTTCGCCGATCGTTTCTCCTTTCTTCCTTTCTCCCATTCATCTTCTCACTCCTAGTAGGTTAGAGAGAGGGGGCTCGTCTGTCGACATGGTGTTGTCGATGCGGGTCGGAGCTGCGGCTCTGACTTCCCTGGCCGTCATGAGCTCGTGCGTGACGGCTCAAGGCTTCTACTATCAGGACATTGGACAGCAGTGCGGCAGCGGCTACAAGTTCCAATACCTGGGATGTGCGCCGGCCACTGCGGCCCCGTTCTATTTCCAGCCGACCCAGTGGTTTCCGAACCTGAATGCGGACAATTCCATGAGCTATATCAACTACGACACCGGCGGCAACGCAATCAACATCACCTCCACTCCGTATTTCTGTGCCAACACGTGCCGGGCCCATGGCTACAAGTATACCAGTTTCTTCAACAAGACCTGCACTTGTGGCAGCTCCCTCAGCTACCAGCCTGTCTCTGGTGGCGTCGTGACGCTCAGCCCCAATGCCGACTCGGACGATCTTTGCAACAAAGGCTCTGACGGAAACACTTACCCCAAATGCGGTGGCGACCAGCGTGAGAACTGTGGTTCGAACCAGGGCGCCCGTATCTGGGTGGACCCGTCCTTCCCAGATGAGAGGACCCTGGGTGACGCTGCAAGTGTTGCAAACGGATATGGCCTCTTGGGCTGCTTCCAAGGCAGGTTTCCCAGTTCTCACAACGAAATAACCACGACCAGTCAAGCAGACGGCCCGTCCTGCTTGAAGTACTGTGCCGATCTGGGCCTTCCCCTGGCCTACATGGTGAAGGGACCGTAAGTTCTGCCCATGGCTCGACTACACAACGTGGACCCAACGAGGTTCGGCGCGCTGACGAAGAATTCACAGGCCGGTCACCTGCCAGTGTGGCACCGAGTTCGCCAAAGACTCGGTCTTGGTTACCACAGATATCTCGCAGTGCTCGACCCAGTGCTCGAACCCTACCGGTAACCAGTAAGTGGCTCATAGTCGCTCATAGTCGCTCATACGTTTGCAGTCCTGGGCCATTCTAACCTCGCACAGGCCATGCTCGGGACAAGACTGCTGCAACACGGGCAACTTTGTATACCCAGTGTACGCAAACCCTGCTCTGATGGGCTGCTTGACTCCCGTCATCCCCGGAATTGGGCAATCTGGCGCCCCCGTGCTGGAGTTGGGCACATTCTCCTGCTATCCAACACCGTCGAGCATCGCGCTACGATCCCCTTCGGTCACCGTCAGCTATGGCACCAAGACCATAACGGCCTCTGCCAGCTTCATCGCCACTGCCAAGCCTGCCACGAACACCTTCGTTAACTATGGCTGCTTCTGGGGTCAGCCCCTTCTCACTGTTCTGCCGCTCAATACAGCCGCTGGGCTTCCCGCGGGCTCCGTCAGTGTCACCGCGTGTATCGCAGCTTGCGATGGAAGGGGAGCTACCTTCGCCGCCCTCTACGGCGACACGCCTGCCTGTTACTGCGCTTCCAGCATATCCTTGAACCTGGGACCTCTGGCGGATATGGAGCGGTGCAACACGCCGTGTCCAGGGGATCCGAATCAGAACTGCGGAACTGACGGCGGACCCCTGGTATATGCCAAAGCCGGTACACCGAATAATCAGTGGCAATCGTCCTGGAGCGCGACGAGGTCGTCTACCATCACGTATACTTGCACAGGCGGTCAGTCTCCTCATAAGTTCTACGCTCATGTGCCACGTATCAAGAAAGCATCGCTCACGCTATGATCAGATTCGGTCGGTCCCAATGTCTTGGCGCCAGGAACTACGACGACGACCACAACGACCACAACGACGACGACGACGACGACCACCACCACCACCACCACCACGACAACTATCCCCACGACCACCACTACCACTACCACCACAACTAGCCCCACGACTACCACAACGGATAGCTCAACGACCACCAGCGACACCAGCAGGACTACAAGCTCCACGACTACCGACACTACAAGTACCACGACAAGCGGCACCACGACCTCAACGTCTACGGACACAACGAGCTCCACGACTTCCGATACCACGAGCTCCACGACTACCGACACTACGAGCTCTACAACGAGTGGCAGTACCAGCGGCACTACCAGCGGCACTACCAGCGACACTACAAGCTCTACCATGAGTGGCACTACAAGCGGAACTATAAGCTCCACAACGAGTAACACTGCTACTTCAACAGGATCTAGCTCCTCGACGAGCACTTCAACCACAGACTCGGGCAGTAGCACTGGCACTTCTACCGGCTCCGGCACCTCTACTTCGACAGGATCTGGCACTTCGACCGGCACTTCAACCACTGACTCCAGCAGCAGCGGCACTTCCACCGGCTCCGGTACTGCTACATCGACAGGATCTGGGTCCTCGACCGGCACTTCAACCACTGACTCTGGCAGCAGCAGCAGCACTTCTTCTACCTCTGGCACTGCCACTTCCACAGAGTCGGGGTCGTCAACTACTGGCTCAGGCAGCAGCACTACTACCTCTGGCACCGCCACCTCAACGGAGTCTGGATCTTCCACCACTGGCTCGGGTAGCAGCAGTGGTACTTCTACAGGCTCTGGCACTGCCACCACGACGGGATCCGGCTCAACGACTGCCAACACAACGACCTCGAGCACAGCGGTCCCCGGTGTAACGGACCTGCCCACCAACACCTTCGTCGTCCTCGAGGTGCAGCGCCCGTCTCCAGTGATCAAGGGGCGCAGGGTATCACACAAGAACATGCGTCGCCAGGCCCCTGCGGTGAGCGGCTTCATCGGCGGAGCCGGCCCCAGGAACCCCAACACGTGCGATGCCGCAACGCTCTTCGAATTGCGCAACGGCATGCTGGTGAGCGGCGGCGAATCTGTGTCTGTCGACCCGGGCGTCCCTTTCATCCCTTTCCAGGTCACGACCGAAGGACAGATCTCCACCACCTTCACCATTATCGACAGCGTTCTGCACTGGTACAATGCCGAGTTTGACGGGGGAGAGGCTGGCTTCTGTCTGGTCGAGAGCACTGGCCAGGTCTTCATCACATTCCAGGGTGCAGACAACAGTCCCAACGAATGCGAGGCTATCCAGATCGTGGCTTATTACTGTGAGTTATACCTTTTTTCCGGGCTGTTTCCCAAGGCGTTTTTCTTCATCCCATTCAAACCACCGAGTATTTTTTTCGTGATATTACAGAACCGCGTCACTAACATCTGCATTAGTGAACCAATGCGTCAACGGCGTCATCGTCCCGTCCAACGCTCCAGGCGGCGGTGTCGGCAACGGCAACGGCAACGGCAACGGCAACGGCAACGGCAACGGTAACGGTAACGGTAACGGTAACGGTAACGGCAGCAGTTCTTCTACTACAGGCAGCAGCTCTTCTACTACCAGCAGCTTCTCTACTTCCGCAACCGCAACTCCGACCCCCAGCATCCCCACCAAGGACTGGATCTTCGAGGAAGGTCGGGCGCCGGACAACTACCCTTGCTATGAGACGACCGAGTCCTGGATCCCTGGCCAGCCGACCTTCTTGCCTGGTCGGGATGAGCTTTAAATTCTTGAGCAGAATTCGATATGTGTCAAGGCATGTATGAAAAGATATGGGGTATGGGGGGCGGAGGAAGTGAGAAAGAAGAAAAGAAAACGAAAGGGGGATAAAAAAAAGGTCGTGTGAACGAGACAAAGTCATTTCATGAGCAAGGATGAATGTAATCGCTCATCCAGCGTCTCTTGGTGTCGCTTTATCTTTTCAGTATTTTTTGGTATTTCCGAAGGTTAGGCGGAGAGAATAGTCTAATTTCTTTGCAATGTAACTGTATAATGGTCAGGGGAAGAGTGCAATAGAGATATGTGTCTTATTGCATTTGCAATTTTAGACTAGCAGGTCAGTCACCTCTTTGGAAGCATTGAGTTGACATTGAACAACCATGCTGTGTGCACATTTCACCAAACCCGACGGTGCAAAGAACCATGACAAGACAGCATTACTGGTTGGTTAATGTAACCTAGAGGAAAGTATCGAGACTCCATTGAGTTCAACTGCCTATTCCACTGGATTCCTGCAGTCATCTGTGCTATCTCTCACAAACTATCTAACCTACTGCTGTAAGCCTGTAAAGGTAGAGAGAGAGGAAGATCCAAAAAATTGATGTCTGTCCAATGTTGAGTAAATATGTATGTATTTAACCGGCTATGATCCAAATGAATACTTATCTATCTATCTTACCTTTCAAAGCTCCACATTTTGCATGACCACGGAAAGGGAACTTGTAGCCGGTTTGCAATCCAAATTTCCAACAAGTTGGTTGCCATCTGATCGCTTGGCGCAATGGTAGCGCGTAGACCTCCTAGATAAAAAAAGTCCCACCGAAAAGACCTCGGTTAATCAATCGCTCAGGTTCGGAACTTTTGGAGATGCAAGTCTAAGGTTGCGGGTTCGAGTCCCGTGGTGATCGTTTTTTATTGAATAATAATCTTTATTATCTAAAGTGGTATTCATTCATTCTTTTAGGGGTTTTTTTTTGGTGTTTTTAATATTTTTGTTTTTTTGTGGTTCTACATACATGCTTAGTTAGGTAGGTAGGTAGGTAGTAGGTAGGTCGGTAGGTAGGTACATTTACTGTGCATTCACACTCTTTTCATACATACACTGAAGCGCCCGTCTGAAATTTTGTTTTTATCGAAAGAGAAAAGGAGAGTTAGTTGGGAAAAAGAGGCTCGGTTGTCTGTCTGTCTGTCTCTCTGTAGGGCGGGCATGCATGGCGGTGATATTTCTTCTCAAGACAGACAATACCGGCAGCGCTGATGACTGACTGCCTCAGCTCCAGCTGTAGGTAGGTCTGTGGCTATCCGCGACCGGTACCAGAGCACTGGGAAGGATGGGTTCTCATGCTATCTATATCTGTGGTATAAGAAAGAGTGTTCTAGATTGTTCACCTCGGGTAGTTACATGGTCTGTCCGTACTTAGTAATACGTATGGGCCACTAGAGCGGTCCGCAACGTATGACTGACTGACACCCGGCTAGGATTCAGTAAGTGAGTGAGGAAGTAAACAGCCAGCTCTATTTGTAGGAACCTGTCTCGCAAGTGAAGACTGTATGTAATAAGAGTATATAGGTAAGTAAGTATATATAAATAAGGGAGAGGATAAATAGATAGGCCGGGGGTGGTGAACAATAAATAGCCAGTTTAGATTGAAGTTCCTTATGTGAGTGACGCAGTCATCCAGTCAGTGACTTGGTTGGAATTGGAAGCTTTGAATTAAACACAGACCTTGCTGGAAATCAATCATGCTTCAGTCGTTGGTTGCCTCAATGGTCTTCCTTGTGCTTTTGTCCTTTTTTTCTAGGTTACGGACACCGGACTGGTGGTATTTTGTTCTTCTCTTACTTTGTTGTATTAGATAGGAGAGAGTTAGAGACTCCGGCCAATGTACTGTTTGCCTACGCTACATTGCATGCATGTCACGCGTCATCGCCCCAACCTCCGCCAGCCAGTGTCTGTCTGTGTCTTTTAAGTAGACGTCAAGCATCCATCACAACAAGGTGGTGGTTACTTTTAACACTCAACATGGCAGATGCTGGTGGCAATGCAAAGACACGCCCGCTAGGCCTGTTATTATTACCCTGCAGAGCTTTCTTGTCTTGGACTTCCCCCCGTGTTGAAAGATTGACAAAATGGGGCATGAGTGAGTGAGTGAGTGCGTAATTGCCAGACCTGAACGAAGCAAGAATACTTTTGCCGCGCTAGGCGAAGCAAGGTGGTTACTGAGGTGTATAACCGCCAGCAATGTTTGTGAGAGAGAGCAAGGGCATTCATTGCGTCGGGATAATATTTTCTGCCAGCGGTGATGACACGACGCGTAGGTGGAAGGTTTACCGAAGGTAGCCTATGCTGCACATACATACATACTTTCCTACCTACTGCATGACAGCAAGCAGCCATCAGATTGTTCTTGACGGCCTCCATTTGACCGATATCCAATATTGTTACTGGCTGTCTTGTCTCTATAATGAGAGTTGTCGGTACAAGTAAACCCGAGTGGCAGGATAAGGGCAGTGAGTGAGAAGTCATGGTGGTTCCTGTTTTGCTTTTCTTTTACCATCTACCGGACTGGTTTGTAACCCCCCACGCAAGAAAATTGAACGACATGGGACGATGCTACTTCAACAACTCCAAAATGCCAGCTGTCACCGACCAACCAATCAACCAAACAAACAGACATGGAGATCTACTTCACCGGTTGAGAAGCGATGACATCAACCGGTGAGAAGAGAAAGAAAGAAAGAGAGAGAGAGAATGCATGCAAGTGTGTATTATAAGAGTCTATATCCAAAGTTCAATGTTTTTCAGCGGCAAGATCGCTTGACAGAAAAAACGCACGAGCCATGATAGAAAAGAGTATTTTAAAAAGAGGTTATTCGCAGGGCTTATTTTTTACCTACGCAAAGGTTTTCAGCCAATCAATCAATAGATAATACTTACATGCATACATACATACTCTGACAGAAGCGGAAGGGAAAGCAAACTGAGACACAAAGAAACAGATCGCTTGCGGCGGTACCGGAAACGGGCTCGCCTCAGGTATGTATGTATGTATGTATGTATGTATTAATTCTTGTTTCTGCTGGTAGAAAATCTTCCTATTAGATCGGGATTAAAAAATCTGCGACGCGCCGTGCTCTTCATACGTACATACGTACATACATACATACATATCTTCCAAACAATTCACTACTGCACCTCAGACAGCTACATTGCATAAGACTAGGTTACGTCAAAATGCCCTATGGCGTGCATACGCTTGCATCCACACACTCACGCACTACTACGCTCTCCGAACGTCATGATAGATGTGGAAGGATGTGCTTGTCAGAAAGATAGATAGATAGCTAGATGGTAGGAAACGCGCTCATGTGATTTCTTATTCTGCTCAAAGTCCCCAGTGTCAAAAGTTGCACGCTTGTTCATTTATCTCTTATGCTACCGCACATACAGAGAGAGGCTTGTAAGGAGTGAGCGGCGGCAAAGTCACAGTGTGTGTAAATGTAAATAACTTCTAAATGAAACAGAAAAGTCGTAATTCTCCTGACCTTAGCTAGACATGCCGTTCATAAGAGTTGTAACCATGTCCATCCATATCAGGGATCTTCTGTAGACTTGATCACGTGGTTGAGTAGTTGTTAGTCGCTTGTCCGAGCTGTCATTGACTCTCGTAAGACAACGAGTCGAGCATCAAGCAAACTGTTAATATAGTTCTCTCTCTTGCCTTGTGAAGCCAGTATCCCAGAAAGCCTTTCCATCTAAGATGGCTCACCTTGCAGGATGTTGTACCGACAGATACGACTCTACGTCCTTCCTACCACCCGAACATTCAATGTGCAGCCATATGGGTTTCCGTATGAGACGATATAGCTCCGAGCAGGTATCTCCGACTGTGCCAATAGCAGGTGTAGCCATTTATGTTCTCAGTAGTTTCGTCCGTTGGAAGAAATAATCTCCGAGTTCTTGGCTTCGCCTTGGGTGAAACTCGAACCAGCAGATATACATAAGCCGTCACCTCCAATAGAAGACGAAAAAGCGGGTTGTTAAGTAATCCGTCAACAGGTTGTTATACTCTGTGCGATTTGATGTACATCTGGCCCCTACGGCTAAGAAAAATACCAACCAATGGGTCACCAACCCCGATTGTCCAACATCCTCGGGTACCTTGAGCTTGCAGGCTGGGAGAGGCCTTCCTTTCCTTGTAGTCTACATGGATGTCTGCAGCCTCAAACTTGGTGTCTCTCGGATGCCTTCACTCTTCCATCAGACCTGATTGTCCCCAATATGTGAAAAGGACCACAGGTAGTCTCAAGCGATCGATTGACCCGACTCGGCCCGTCAACTCCGGGCATGACCTCACTGGCATGCTTGACTACGCAACTGAAAATAGCAGCCCCCCATTGGGCTTTAAGCCAGGTGCTATGAGGGAGGTTGAAGCGAATGTGTGCCGTAGGAGAACCTTTGATAAGAAGATACTGGGTGGGTATGAGTGAACGAGAGCAAGAATGCCACATGTCATGGCACGAGGCGGCGATCACGTTTGCAGCCGCGTGTCGATCTCTCTATAAACCTCGTCAGCCATGACGGTCCGGGATGGCAACGAATAAATCCAAGGTACCTTCTCTCAAGAGACGTAGGTGGCGCAGACATGGCAGCTCCTGCCGGCAAACACCCACACCTCTTTCCCAGCGGCCAGGCAGGTTGGGCATCGCTTCCCCGGCACCTTCAAGAAGATCAGCCGAGATTCAAGGGACAGAAACAGGGAACTCACAGTGGACATGTTCACGAGGGGCATGGCGGTGGTGGTGGCGTTGCCGTTGTTGGAGTCTGAGGTGCACATCTTGAAGGGGTGAGTTGTCTGTGATGAATTTGGTTGCTCTTGAAGAGTACGTGCGGGTTGTCTGAAGGGTCTTCTTGGATGAAGTTCTTGCGGTGAGCGGTGAGTGGTGAGTGGTGAGCAGATGGACGACTTCAGAGCAAGGCGAAGGGATGTCCTTGCTCATTATATAGACCTCACGACAACGAGAGTCCTGGGCCGGACCGCCCTTTGCCTATCAGGTGGGTCAAACAAGCGGTGGAACAAGCTGGCAGACTTCAAAGGATCGCGCATGTCCGCGTCGGGCCACGATCAACAAGCAGGAGGCATGAAGTGAGGTTGCCAGGCCATGGTTAGGCGGCAAGAGAAACTTCGTCCTGCCGATACCTCCTGCCCATGGGCCGAGCGTTGAGCCACTCCTGAAGGGTTCACGAGATGTATTTGAGCATGTATTGATCATATGGGGCCATGCCCACCACGAAGCCATTGCCATGCCAAGGTCAGATGTGATCTCATAGGATTGAAGACCGAATCTGGCGGATCTATACCCCAACCCGGCTCCCACGATGCCGCTCCCTAGTCATGGCCTTGGTACAGATTTCCATTCCTCAGCGGCTGGGCTGGGAGGGGACTCGTGTCAGAGGCCACGATGCGGTACAGACCGACTAACCCAGCGGGTCATCAGAGAGCGAGGCCGTTGGGTCAAAGAGCAACAACGCTAGTAAGCTCGGCCGATCTGGCACCATTCAAGGCTGCTCCGAAGGCGCCATCCTCTCACCCAGGCCGGTCTCAGATATTACACCCTACGGTTGGGCCACAGAGAGACATGAGTGCATTGGCAGCGGTAGTGTCGGCAAATGCGTATAGGAAAGAAGGATGCTCGATCCCCGGTTGAACGTCTTGTTTCTCTTTTTTTGTTTGATGGGGCAGGGACGAACGAAGCACGCTTCCTTCCTGTGCGAGGCAAGGAGCGTGTGAGGCAAGTACCACACTGCTGGAGCAGGCTGCAAAGGAGATCAATGTGTAACAGCTTGAAGTAGTATGCGCAGTAGGCAGGACGATCGAATCCTGTGAGCTTGATTGACACCTGACAC